CCCCCTTCTTTTACACCTCTTGACCTTTGACCTTTGACCCCCAGCTTCGACATCCCAACGGATTACCCCCCCACGTCCCGAATATCGTGACCGTACGTCGAGCGGTTAAGATTTGTGCCCAACTGTTGACGGACGGACAATCATGCGATTCTACAAGCTGCACCTGACTACGTCAGATGAGCTAAAAACAGGAAAAAAACACTCAACTTATTTATACGACGCGATTCTGTGCTCACAATAGGAACTACACGTGCATAGCGGCGCACACACCGCCAGTGTCTATCTACACTCAGTTACCGACTCATATTATGGCTTTAACTGTACGCTCGCGGTCAGCAAACTTTTAATTGGCTATTAATAAATTCGATCACTCACAGGCGGCGAGTAAAACGGCGCCTGCCTCGCGGCGCGCTGGACGTGATGCGGTCATGATGCCGAGGCGCGCCGAGGATTGACACAGTCACAGGTCTTCCAATCACAGCCTACGCCACACCAAGGTTTTATATTTTTAAATATGGGGACCCATTGGACCATCAAATTGCTGATCTCAGAAACTAGGGCACACTGCTAGACTAGAAGGCTGTTTAGCGCACTGCGCTACGTCCTTCTGTTGCATTTTCGCATTTCCGTAATCAGAATAAGGGCACACACACGCGCCTTCTTCGTTGATGGGCATGAATGGGGGGTCAACGACATGACCCGTTACTGCGTGTAGGTGTTTGGCGAGAATGTTTGCTTTTCGTAAATAATGAAATGCCCGGCCGATGCATTTCGCACCGAAGAGGAAAAATTAGGCATTTTTACCCACTTTCGGAAGTGAACGAGTGTCATTCATTGAACACTGAAGTTTTTCTTAAAATTAAATAATTCCGAAAATTCCTAACCGCGCTACTCGATTGTTTTAGCCAATGAACGTAGCTGTGTGTGAGACGTCTTGCCCGCGCGCTTTATGCTTGGCTTAGCGGGCCTCGAAATGGATATAATTATATATCCTAACATTGATCGCCTAGATATATCGCTTAATATTGGAAGCACGTACCTCGCAACACGCGTGTTTGTTTACATATAGCTTTGTGACATCAGGATGGGCGGTGTCGGGAGTTCTGCGATGATATCCTCGTAATTTCTCAGTATTTCTTAGGGTGCATGGAACATTTTACCAATTTAGTGATGTCAGTTAGTCACGGATATGTCACAGTAAGTACTAACCAATTTTGCACACAGGCGGTCGATCATTGTGAAAAATTGTGTGAAGATTTATTTTTATTGAGACGTTCCAAGTGCCTGTGCTTTCATCAGTCTTGTACGTCAATGCACGTGCGTCAAGAGCCATAAACTCAACACAATTTCATCTCTGTTATTGTTTGTGCCTGAATGCGTGATTGATCAGGGAGGGGGTGCATGTAAGAGACAGCCATTTTCTTTGGGGTTCCAAAAAACACAATTCCACTTGACAATTTCATGGGCCATTTCAATTGGAAGCTCTGCATAATGGACCCGCAACAAGCCCTTTGACTGACTAGTCAAGAAATTCAAAGGTCTGTATATTGCTCTTATTTAGCTGCCGATAGTTGTTATTTAGAACAAAGTCTTCATTGTTATCTTCTAAAACTACAGACCATCCGCTAACCGTTGTGGAGACGTGCGCCGGGCCTCGAATTTGGCGCACGTCTCCACTGCGGACAGGGCTTCATACTTGAACATCCCCGCGGTCGCGTGCGCAAATCCCGCGGAACTGCCCGTCTCATCCGCGCGCAGCGCTCAGGATCAACAGCAAAGCTGTGCCACGCAATCTTGTATCATGTCTCTCTGGATTGCAACATAGTGATCTGTACTGACTGACGGATGGATGAGCGACAGCTTCATTTCACGGTTGACCGGAGAGTCTGTGCCATAACATTCGCGCGACAAAAGAAGCAACTAGTGAAATATGCTGTCCCTCCCCCTCTCTCTCATGTGATGCTGCCCCTCCCCCTCTCTCTCATGTGATGCTGCCCCTCCCTCCCCCTCTCTCTCATTGTTGATTGCTGGCCCCTCCCCTCTCTTCATGTGATGCTGCCCCTCCCCTCGCCTCTCTATGATGAATGCTGCCCTCCTCCCCTCATCTCTTCATGGTGATGCTGCCCTTCTCCTGTCTACTTCATGTGATGCTGCCGCCTCCCCCTACTCTCTCATGTGATGCTGCCCCTCCCCTCTCTCTCATGTGATTGCTGCCCCTCCCTCCCCCATCTCTCTCATGTGATTGCTGCTCCCCTCTCTTCACTGTGATGCTTGCCCCTTCTCCTTCTGCTCAATGTGATGCTGCCCTCCCTCCCCCTCTCTCTCATTGTGATGCCTGCCCCTCCCTCTCTCTCTCTTGTGTGTTGCCCCTCCCCCTTCTCTCTCTCTCTCATGTTGATGCTGCCTCCCTTCCCCTCTCTCTCTCATGTAATGCCTGCCCCTACCCTCTGCTCTCTCTCATGTGATGCTGTCCCTCTCCGCCCTTTCTCTCTCATGTGCAGTGCCTGCCCCTCCCCCTATCTCATTTGATGCTGCCCCCTCTCCTTCCATCCATGTGATGCTGCCCTCTTCCTTCCCTCATGTGATGCCTTGCCCCTCCCCCTCTTCTCTCATGTCTGATAGCTGGCCCTCCCCTTCTCTCTCATGTGATGATGTCCCT